TTCACTATCTCCCGGAGTTTGCCCAATTTCATGTTCATCTTTAATAGCATATCTTGGTAAATACTTAAAGAATGATACTTCATAGAAAAGACAAAAATCAAATGCTGACTCCTTATATTCCCAAACTGGGCAAAAAATGCATGCAAATTTTCAAAAGTTTTCCCCAAACTCTTGGGAATGAAGAAGACTCAAGATTAAATTTGTAATCTATTTATAACCTATTTGATACTTTTTTCTTTAAAAAATGAATTTTGACTACTACTCCAGATACTTAAAATTCTGCAAAATGAAAACAAAGTTGGTACCATTCTATTGTTGAATAGAAATCTAAAGCAAAAAATTAGGAGGAGTCTGATAAGTCTCTTTTCTGACTAATAAAAATATAAATTTCCCATGAACTAACATTATATTTGTTTATTGTGTAATACATTCTCAGTTTTAGTTTCGATCATTCTTAAAGCTAAAGCTTCCCATATTCCAATTGGGGGTGGTAATCAGATTTATAATTTATAATTCTAGTCCCTTTCCTACCAGAAGGAAAAAAAGTTGAATTAACCAAATTTATGTCTCTGATTACTGGCCGAGAGGGGGCAATTAAGGAGGAGATACTATTTATGAAGATTTGGTACAAGTACATATTTGTGGAGTGAATTCTAATTATTTGTCCTTTATCCATTTTATTGTGATTCTATGTTTTGCCCCAATTTGTCTGTTAACTGTTTTTCATTTTCATATAGTTCTAGATATTCCATCCATATGTTCAGTGGAGCCAAAGTAAGCAAAGCAACAAAAATCAATTTTGATAACACCACAAGACACTATAAACATGTGATGTCTGCTCCCAGGCTGAAAAATACAAACAGGAGTATATGAGGAACAATTCACAGATCAGTTATTACTTAAAGAGTAACTGAATATGTCATAAAGCAATAAATATTTTTATATAAACACCTTTTTAAATGATAAGCTCTCCTTACTAGGATTTAAACTTATAATGAAGATGCTGCCTAGTAAGTTTTAAATAATGCTGTCCTGAAATCTTAAAAATGCCACTTGATTTAGGAATAACTGGCAAATTTAACAATAGGATACATAAGAATTAAGCAAAATCGGGATCATTTTATATCACTGAAATATGTTGCTCTTGTGCTGACCAGAACTTTTCAAGAAATGAACTGCAAAATACTTCCCCAAAGCACATTAAAATGATAAACTTGGAACAAGTCTTTATTTGTTTGTTTGTTTTTTCCGGTGGAAAATGCAAATGGAATGCTTTGTTTTTATTTTTTCTGATAAGGGACTATTTTAAGATAATAGGATATCAAGTATTTTAAGATATTTCCAATTTTTCATTAATTGTTCAAGCTGAACATCACAAAAAAATGAACTGCCCAATTCTGAATCATACATTAAGTTGAGAATGTATTGGGGAAAACAGGAAATGTGATTATGAAATATATTATTATTCTAAATTATAAACATGGGAAGAAAGATTCATATATTGCTATCAATCTTTATTTTATGAAGGAATTCTCAGATCTATATAATAATTTTTTTTTAGGGAAGTGTAGTTCCATTATCAAATCACTATCATTCTTGTACACAGAAACAAACTACACAGTATAAGAAAATGCAAGGAACATAATGGATTTTTTCCCTTTGGTTATATTGATATTTTCACAAGAAAAGAAAGGATTGTCCTTGCTTCCTCTTATTGACTTTAGAGCTAGATATTGATGAACTCACTTCCACTAGGTTTCAAAGTAACGCAAGTGGGATAAACTATGCTTGTCCGCTCACATTCAAAAGTCAGAAAGTGGTATACAAACTGATAAGTGTAAGCAACACGATTACTGCTGACCGAAAGCTAATTTAGAAATTTTAAAAATGAACGCATTTTTTCTTCTACGCTATGGTTGACTTCCAGATAAATACAAGCAAGTTTCTATATTGATTTTGGGACTTTTCTCAGCTTTATTTTGAATCTTCTTGAAAAATTATCTCTGAAAAAAGCTATGTTTCATTGGAGCATGCACATAAAGCAAAAGTCTAAAAACATTGTGAGGACTGCAATGCATTTTATTGTGCAAGCTAAAGGACCTTAACCTCCACAACAGACATTATCTGGTCCATATTCCCACCTGTCTCCAGTTCTTTCACTCATATATATACTTCACAAAATCTGCATATTATTTTATCTGATTTTATATCAAACTTAACTCTTGTTATGACCTCTATATTTATCCTATGCTTTCTCATTATAGCCTAACAACTGATGTTGCAAATGAAGAACACATGACCATTATGTGTGAGAAAGAAGATAGAACACTGCCTGATGAGGTTCCAAGGTATCAAAATACCAAAAATTTCTTTCAATCCTCAAAGAATGAAAATCACACAATATTAGTTTGCATAAGAATCAGAATTTCTGACATATAATATCAAATAACTGCAATATATTTAAAGAACAGACACAAACTACTTTCCAACTTGGCCTTGGGCCTGTAGCAAAACAGATTATAGTTGGAATGACTAAATAGGGATATGCAAAGCATATAAACAAGGCACTTTGTAACATGTAGGAACACAAAGAAAGCAATTCTCTGAACTGTTAAAGCAGGCAACTATTCCCAGATGTTTCTGCATGTGTGTGTTTGCATATGCACTTCATTTCAAGTGGTCCCGGAATAAATTTCTAACAGTGTTCAACGCACATGAATGTTGCGAAAGATTCAGGTGCTTTAATGATATAGAAAAAAAAACTTCTCTCATCTATGTAGCATGAGTCACCTCTTCTGAATGTTTTTCAGAGTCCTAGAAATATTTCCCCAGTGATATGAATAACTAATTTGAAGAGTAATGCAATAATATTACATGTTGCTGTAGAATTATACGTAGTTGGCATATATGTCTATACATAAAAGTGCAGCTCAAATATTTGAAATTTTAAACTTAGGTATGTAAAATTAAGGAAATATTTGAGGATATCTTTCTTCTTTATGGTTATACAAAGGAACATCTGGATGCAGCTACTTATAAATTGCATAAAGTATACCACTACACTACCCTGTATAAAAAGTGATTATGGGGTCTTTTCTGAAATTAAAATAAGCTATTAAATATATAGAATGAGATCTATTTGGGATTTGAAACTAATTTTGTTTGGTAAAGATGGAAGGTGACTGATAGGAGAAAGCCAGAAAACTAGTTCTGTTCATTCAACTGTTCTGAATTGGTGCCTTCTGGATGTTCTGGATTAGAATTCACTTTCATACCTTGGAATGATGGAAGTTTTACTCCACAAGCATTTGAGGGCATTAGGTTAAGAAAGGCTAAGCTTACAATGACTAACTGCAGCTCTGAAGCCTTTTCCAGTCTTATGCTGAGATGCCAGATATTGAACTTAAGACCACCCTCATGCAAAGCATATATTTTAGATTTGGTAGGGAGACAAGAGCTGGACAGACCTTAAAGATGGGATGTACAAGATATATGCAAGGGTTATGAAGCAGCCAGGTGGCTCAGATTATTGGCCTACCCTATTATATATGAACTTTCATTAAAGTTTCTCTCTAGTCTTTACTCACGTGGATATCATAATTCCTAGTTGACAAACTGCTGTCTGCTGTGCATTTCAAATACTTTAATTTAAGACTGAGGCTTGAAGACAATACTATAATAATCTTGCAAGTTATGATGGTAATTTCTTTCAATCTTTCCTTAGCATTCTAAATACATTACATGCATTATGTATTTAGCTTTCTAAATAGTTTGGTGTATTCACTAGACTTTTCTGACTAAAAAGACAGAGCATCCTTGCTAACCATCCACTATTTCCTCATAGTTTTTATGGCTTATAGCTCTTAAATACTAGGGAGAAGGAAGACAAATGGAAATTTAATATTTAAATCTCTATGTGTGTCTTCCTATTAAGCAATTCTGGCATTAGCCTTATTCATCTTAGTACAATACAGATGAAATACTTAGCATAAGATAAATAAGTTTGGTTACAAATCAAATGTTGAACATGAAGAGAATTCTTATGTCATGTATCTCATAACTGAGCTTCCCATCAATCTATTTTAATGATTTTTAAAACCTAACCTATGTATCTGTAGTTTTTAAACATTAGCCAGAAAATTTCTGATAAATTTCTGATATGCCATTTGATGTATTAACAATTTGCAAAAAGAATCAGGATTTAGTATTTTCTTATTATTCTATATATTTCTTTAAAAATATACATTGCCACAAGCTATTATGTTACTTAAAATGGTCACTAAGCATGTAAGAACAATGATGATCAAACCACTGAACTGTTGTATCTGGAAAATAGTCTTATATTAGAAATGCATTATTTAAGATTAAGTTCTCCTAATTTTTTTACACTTTTTAATAGGTAATACAGCACTGATCTCTTTTATCAAATTCAGAAAATGGAAGCATTCAAGTGGTTTTTTTTTAGCATTTATTCCAAAATTGTAGAAATTCATATCTTAAGTAACTTCTGCAATTAATTGCACTTTTTTGGCTATGGTAGTTTTAAACAGTGTTTTTTTTTACCCTTTTCATCTTTGATATTAATTATATTTTTATTTTCACAATGAGATTTTGTGACTGAGCCTAAGACTTTATAGGAAGGGAAAATAAAAACTAAAATGATATTACTAAAATTCAGGAAACTACAAGACATTCCTATAGTAGGCCATTTTTAAAATGTCAAATCTAGATTCCAGCTTTGTTAGTTGATGTGTATACACTGGTTTATAGTACCAAAATATAACAACTACATATTTAGATACAAGTATTAAATAATCTATATTTTACAATCAGAACTGTTTCATCCAATACAGGGCATAATTTGCCTAAAACATGCATATACTATGTAAATACAATACAGATAAAACATATGCAGGAAATCATTTATGTATAGTTAGATGTGTTTAACCATTTTTTTTTCTAATTTTGCACCACCAATATCTATGTTTTCTGTAACATACCAACTGTTTTCTGTCGCACTATGCTTCTGGCCTTTTCTGTTCCTGGAGATCCCGTAGTTGTTGCGCTGCGTTGTCTCATTGGGGCCTGCCCAGGTTGATCACGGCTCCAGCCTTTCGAAAATGATTTGTCCACAGAGGTTTTTTGAAACTCATGTCCAATACCTGATATGGGAGCATTCATATATATACTGAGAATTATGTAGGCATAATAATTTAGAGTAACATTATAAGAAATGAAGATAAATGCTATTGTAATAAAAGTTTAATAGATGATTTTGATTCAATCACACCTTCACTAAACCAGCGGTCTCCAAACTTTCCAGCTGGACTGGTGGAGGTGGCAGCAGTGGGGCAGAGGGGAGAGGGTTTGGTTTTGCATGCATGAATCCATGCATTGCTTTCACAAATACAGCTTTGTACGCGCACATGCTTGCGCACCCGAACGGGCATGGCCCGGCATTGGGCCACGGACCGGGGGTTGGGGACCCTTGCACTAAACTATATCCAAGATTTATCTCAATAACAAAAAAAGAAGTTAATTACAATTAATATGTGTAATTTCAGTCATATAAAGAAGCTTCCTCCCTATATGTAATCTACCATGTCTGTCTATTAATTCAAATTTGAATGTATTCCTATAGCAATCCTGTAAGATATGGGTTTTTTTCCTTGTAAAGACTCCCTTGAGCCAAATTTGATTTGGGGCGACTATGGGGACTTAGCCATTTAGGCTTTTTGGCAACAATACAGAAGTGGTTAACTTCTGCCTTGCTCCTACTTGGGAGACAAGGCAAAAGCAAAAGTTTTAAAAGTTTTTTCAAAAAACGTTTTTAAAAATTAACTTTTGATAAGATACTTTATAAAAATTACTATCCACATAATCTATTAGTGATAAAACTGAATCCTTTGACCTAGTTGAACACTCAATGCATATGATTCACCACAGTGAGTGTATGTTTGATAATCAAAACTCAATTAAAGATTCTGTTCATTTCTGGTTCATAGTATGCAATAGTAAACAACAGAAAAAAAATCCGAAGCATTTTAGTCTGCTCTGGAGCAGAACTGAGACACTTGTTGTATCATACAACTGATACAGAACTCAGAGCTCTTCTTAATCAACAGTGTATTTCCTGCTTTAAAAAAATTCCATGGTGAAGTGGAATCCTTTTTCTTATGTTTTTGACAACCATATTATTACTTTACATAGCAACTAAGAGTGCTGATAAATGAACAGATTCAATTTCTTCATAACACTGTACATTGTGGATGTGATTTTAATGAGGGTTAAATTTCTTAAAGCCAAACTAGAACCTGAAATACTTGCTGCTTGAACTCTGTATGCTGATCTCTTGATTAAACCTTCCAGAAGAATGGGAACATGCCCTGACTTATTTTATTTTTAAAAAGTAGATTACAGAATGACGAAACTGCGTATATTTTATCTAGACAGTTCCCACCCTGATGGCATTCCAGAAGATCTTACAGACCTGGCTGCTATCCCAGATCTTAAGGAAGGGCGGATTGTTAGATGTGTTTGTCATAGGTTTGGAAGTTAGTGGTCTAGATTTGCTATTTTGTTCACTTCCCTTATTGTATTTTTAATTGATCTTATTGTACAGGTAGTCCTCGTCTTACAACAGTTCATTTAGTGACCATTCAAAGTAACAACATCACTGAAAAATGTGGGTTATGACTATTTTTACCCTTACGACCATTGCAGCATCCCCATGGTCATGTGAACAAAATTCAGTTAGTTAGCAACTGACTCACATTTATGATGGTTGCAGTGTCCTGGGAACATGTGTTCACTTTTTGCGATCTTCTGACAAGCAAAGTCAATGGGGAAGCCAGATTCACTTAACAAGCATGTAGCTAACTGAGTAACTGCCGTGATTCCTTTAACAACTGTGTTACTAACTTAACAACAGCAGTGATTCATTTAAGAACGGTGGCAAGAAAGTTCATAACATGGGGCAAAACTCACTTAACAAATGTCTCGCTTAGCAACATAAATTTTGGGCTCAACTGTGGTCGTAAGTCGAGGACTACTTGTATTTGTTTTTATATTATGAACCGCCCAGAAATGGTTTGGAGTGGGGCAGAGCAGAAGTCAAATTACATAAATAAATAAAGGAACACACAATACAGTATTTATTATTATATTTATTTTATATTAGTAATAGATTACGTAAAAAGAGGTGTGTTTTTTTTAAAGGAATACCATATGCTGTAGCTCTGGACTCATTTGTTTTTGGATCACAATTTTTCAACTTTAATTAAATCACAACTGAATAATATCACTTACCTTTGCCCTTATGCTTTTTTTGTTTCTGCTCACTTAATTTATCGAGTGGTAGATCACTGAGGTCCAGGCTGTATAGGTTTCTAGCCAATACTTTTGTCAGAGTTTCCATAGTTAATGACCACTCTGTGGCCAACTCTTCCCAATATGTCAGTGATGACAATACTGCTAAAAGGTCATCCCAAAGTTCTCGGGAAATGTACACATTTAAATTTGCTTTGATCCAAGCTACAATAAGAGTCTACAAAAAATAAAATAATAGAGGAAAATTCATATTTTGTAGCAGAACAACTGAAATCTCAATCATTTTTAACTTATTAAAATTATGAAAGTGCATAATGCAGCTTCAGTGTGTTTAATCTTTTATCCAGTGCTTTTTTTGTAAAAAAAAAAAAAAAAAAAAAAGATGCCGGAACTCACACATTTTATACAACCCGCCTTGCCTACCCTACAAAGTCCCATCCAAAAAAGGTGCCGGAACTCCGTTCTGGGCATTCTATGAGAAAAAAAGCCCTGCTTTTATCTCTTTGCTTGTTTCTCTTTTCATCCTACATCATTATATGTCTCTATGAACCTATTTCTCTACTAACCCTTTCTTCTTTTGTCTAACCACTTTCCTTTTTACCCATTTCTTGCCAAAACCCGCAATGCCATTTCTCAACCTAGGTTCATTTTCCCTATGTCTTTCAACATTCGTCCTTCCTGTAGGTTAGGGGAAAATAAGCCCTCCTTGCATATAGCCTTTTGGAGGAGTTGAACCAGTCGCCACACATGATGTTATATCAGACAATTGAACCTGACACCAGCAAAAAAGCTAGAAAACAGATTAGCATTATGAATATGAAATTGGTCAGTTAAAAAAAATCCAATGAATTACAAAGATAAATTTTATATAAAATGTTATTTCAGCATTATTCTGCAATTAGGCTATATACTGTTATGCAGTAATGTAGCTTTTTCTTCTTTATAGACATCCAAATTTAATCTTTTGTTTTCACATTTTATCTATCTAATTTCGAAAGTTTATCTTTACTTAATAATTACACTGGCATATATGAGAAATGTCTGTCCGCTTAGTTTTTCTTCCATCCATCAGAAAAATCAGGCTAGCTGCTAGAGGCAATTTTGGTGTGTGTATTTCCCAAAAGTAGCTATATGTATACGTTCACAAGAAGGAATAATGCCCTGTGTTCTGTTGCTGAAACTAGCCACTAAATATCTTTTAGTAACAGTATATAAAGAACACACACACACACACACACACTGTGCCTATTCTTGCAATGTCTGTATGATATACAATATAGTTATATGTTATTAAATGTTAATGATGTCCTAAGTGGGGGGTCCCCAATCCCCGGTCCGAGGACCAGTACTGGGCCACGGCATGCCAGCAACCGGTCCGCACAAACAAGTGAAGCCCCATTTGCAGGATGCAGGCAGCACACAAAATCATGCACCCTCTGGTCCGTGGAAAAACCTCTCTCCACGGAACCAGTCCCTGGTGCCCAAAAGGTTGGGGACCTCTATCCTAAGTTATCCAGTGAAATTAGCAAATCCCACCAAACTTGGCTTTGTATGTGTGGGGAATTATTTGAGTCGTTGTTATACACGACTTAGTTTTAGCTCCATTACAAATAATTAACTATTTTTATGTAAACAAATCAGAATAAATATTTAAAGATGAATACATTTCATCAGGTGTTTCGGCTATTTATAAATAAAAATATTCATCACTGAGCATTCAGACAATAAGATAAACTGTTCTGAAAACTAACTTATAAGAATGTAAATAACTAATGATTTCATACAATAGACTAATGAATGAAAGCCATCTCATCTATAATATTTGGAATAATTAAAATATTAAATGTATTAATTTGCCTGAAAAAGAGGGCCAGCAAGTCTTCCTGCTAAAGTCAAATTCTTTCTTCCTTGATACTGTAGAAAAATTTGAGATGGTATTTTCAATACTGATTCTGTTACTCGGAGCAGCACAAGCAGCATCTGTTCCCTGCAAAACAACATTAGTATTATTTAAAGTCAATTAATTAACTATTACTGAAGATAGGGCACTCTCCAAAAAATAAAGATGAACAAAAATCAAAGATATACAGGCTATGAAATAAATTGTATGCAACTTTTCAATTCCAACAATTATGTATTAACAGTATTACATTAAGTGTGGGAAAGTGTTAATTAAGTGGGAGATAAGTACGTGCCATATTATTAAACAGAAATACTTTACCAAGTTTTCTTGTCCATTGTCACTTGTACCACCATGTAGCGGTAGATATTAAGAATGCGTTTACACATATCTGTATGCTCATCTAACAAACTTTTAATCTCATTTGCTGGCTCAAGAAGAAATATATTTGAGGAATTTGTTATAAACACCTGTAATTAAAACAAATAAAAACAATTATACTAGGAAATCAGCTATGTATTACCATACTGATTACAAAGAGGAAACAAATTCATCTGGATTAACTGAATAAAATATAATTGAGTATTCTTTAATGAATGATTTCCAAAACAAGTATCAAATAGAATTTTTCAAATTCAGAGCAGTTGTCTGAAACACAGAGAGTGAATATGTGCTGATATTTTGATAATCACACTGCTAGATTCTCCACAGAAGATCTCAAACTGAATGTGTTAAGAGATATCACATTCCTATAAGTCACCAGGGTTCAATCATATGGAATGTTCACAACTTGCTAGCCACTATGTAGATAACAGTTGATATTTTTTCTCCCTGTTTAAATTAAGTTGATGTTTATTTGTACTATTCCTTCATAAGTGTGGGGAAACAATTGTTAGATTGTACCACGATGCTGACACTCTACATATTTATTTAATGATTTGGCCCTCATTTTTTAATTCTGCATTTTGTGCAATACTGAGTTGTCCAATATAACTGTCGTAATACTGGAAATTTATTTATATACTGAATTCCCTTGGTTCTTAGTTTTGGGAGTTTATTCTTATTACAGGGCAGTAGTTGTCGTAGTGTGAGCCTGATCATCATAATAAGAAAGCTAACAGCTGTTTTTAAAGCAATTTGCAGGTATAGGCTGCCCCTGCTTGAAAAAGCTAGCCTGGCATTAAAAAAGTGCAAGAACACAATTTCTTAGGTAGGTATTTCTCATTTGAAAGTAAAAGTACAACTGGAATTCTTGTGCTGCCATGATATTTCTTGATAAATATTATTAAATTGATGAGACAAATTCCTTAGATGGATAATTTCTATTGCTAATTGATGAAGAAGTCTGACATTTTTATCTTATTCATTGTTCCAAATATTACTTCTATATTTTAGGGGGTTCTGATACTTTTGTCACCCTTCCAATTACACTTCATATGTAAGGAACATCTGTATTTATTCATAATCCTTCTTTTGGCTATTCTTATTTTTTCTTGCTTTGTTTTTTCTATTAGTTATAATTATAAAGGCATAAATACAAATATAAATATTTAACAAGTGTTAAATATTTTGGTTTGCAAACTGAATTATGTATTTTGTCAGCACTATTTATTAGAGATCTCATATGATATTTTTAGCAAGGGAAGTGACCTGATGTGGTACTGATGGAACAGTTTGTATATGTCCCCTTCTTAAACTTTGTACTGTAGTTTAGATGTCCATCATAATCTCATCTCATCAGAGCATGCAAGAACAACAAAACAAAATAAAAAAACATTTATATGCAGGAAAGATGTTTGCAAAAGGCACAGGAAAAGAACACTGGAAAATGTTATGTAGGCAATCAAAAAGAAATACATGCTTACTTGTAGTACTGCTTGTATTCCAGCTCGTATACCTTGTTCCAGGTTGTCTAACTCAGATGTTTTATAGGGAACTTCCTGATAACAACCATTTCTTGTCCAGTTTGAATTTCGAATAGGACAGGAACTACCTGTATTTTCCTAAAACAGACGTGATTATTTCTTTCCAAATATCCACAGAGATACACAGGCATACACACAGTTTAAATTTTCTTGCTGTTTTGAATTCTCTCTGATTAGCAGTGACCAGGGAAACCCAGGGAATTATTTCTAGTCTCTTAACACTATCAGCATTCAGTAAAAGTATCAACATAGCAACTGTCAGCTTCTAATGAAATCTTCAGATAGATAGCTGGGTTACATCTGTTGCAACCAACAATATTTTTCTTAAAGAACAGTAATTATAATCTAATTATCATTGAACTTTTTGTATTACATTTCTCTTGGACCTCACTGTTTATACTCTATCCCACGGGTCCCCAAACCCTGATCCATGGATTAGTACCGGTCAGCGGCATGCTAGAAACCGGTCCGCGCAAACAAGTGAAGCCCAATCCATGGGATGCAGGCAGCACACGAAACCACACCCCCTCCGATCCATGGAAAAACCTCTCTCCACAGAACCGGTCCCTCGTGCCCAAAAGGTTGGAGGCCGTGGCTCTAGTCTATCCCATATAGCATGTGCAAATATATTTGTAATTAAGAGCAAGACCTCATACTGTTAATGAAATTAATTGCAATTTTCAAATAATATGCCAGATAGTCTTTAATTTATCGCAATAAACTCTGTTGTTTCTTCTAAAAGAAAATTACTCCACTGCTACTACCATCATCAAACTTCAATAATGTACTGCTATTATAAACTATGATTATATTCACACTATACATTCCTCAACCATATAAAGATATTTTTTTTTTAAAAAAAAGATATTTATCTGATCACACAGAAAATGATGAAAATCTCATGGCCAATCATATGTGAACAGAATTAAATATCCCTGGAGTCTAATTTGCACCTTCCCCGCTTCTTGAAGAACTGGTGTTTTATTTAAAAACAGCTATTATCGATTCTGGAACCTACAAAATATGGAGAAAAGATAATCCATGGAACATAATATTTTAGTCTAAGAATGGCCTAAAATTTCCAAAAATTTCAAAGATACATAGTAGTTCTTTCTCACTTAATCTTCAAATGAGCTTGTTAAATATAAAAACTGCATTATACATATTAATCTTATATTTCCTTTTTTTTCTGTCTAGGAACAAGTTATACCAGATAATTTTAAACTTGGATCTTGCAATCTTCTTTTATACATTTACTTATATATACAATGAATGAAGATGCTGTTACATACAGATGGAAAAAGAGAAATCAAAGAATGATTTCTGATGTTTTTACCTCCTCTCTTTCTTTCTCTAATGCATTATGTTCTGCAATATTTTCATCACTGTTTATGTTCAAAGATGAAACAATTTCTTCTGGTTCTTTCATGAATAACGGCTTTTCTTCCTGTTGTATCCATTCTTGATATACTTTAACCACTTTCCTCATGGCTGCTGCTTCACATATTGGCAATAAAAATGCCTAATTAAGGAGAAAAGGACACATAAGGTATATTATGGAACAAGCTCCCTATTATAGTTAAATGACTCTTAGGTTTAAATTTATGGTGTTTTCTTTAAATCCACTGAATTCTTTCAGTAACAGGAGCATACTGAAGATATCATTTTCATTAGAAACGCAAAATCACTCAGTTTGTTTTTGAAAGGAAACAGAAGAGCAAAGAAACACAAAAATCAGAAACTGCCACCCAGTTTATTTATGTCTATTATTTATAAAGGCCGTTATAGGTCTTTAAAAAGCAGAGCTGAAGACTCAGGCATCTGAAGGAGGAAAAAGGAAACCAGCATTGTAATATTGGTTAAAACACCGTTGTTAGATCCCACCTGACTGGACAATTCCCATCCAATTTCCCATATCCCCTTTTTAGGGAAGGTGGTAGAAAAGGTGGTTGCTGGCAGCTTCAGAGGACCTGGGTGAAAGAGATTATCTGGACTCCTTCCAGTCAGGCTTCAGGCCCGGTTATGGGATAGAACAGTGTTTCTCAACCTTGACAATTTTAAGGCATGTGGACTTCAACTCCCAGAATTCCACAGCCAGCAATGCTGGCTGTGGAATTCTGGGAGTTGAAGTCCACATGCCTTAAAATTGTCAAGGTTGAGAAACACTGGGATAGAAACACTATTGGTAGTACTTATGGATGATCTCTGGCAAGAGCGGAGTACAAGTAGTGCAACCATCCTTGCTCTCTCAGCAGACCAGAGTATCTATCCTTTTGGGCTGGCTATAGGCTACAGGGGCTGGACAGCACAGTCTTGCTTTGGTTTGGCTCCTTTCTCCAAGGCTTCTAATCAGTGTTAATAGGGAGTGAGAGATCCAGCCCTCGGTGTGCTGCAGGGCTTGGTACTCTCTCCACTGCTTTTTAATTACTATAAGAAGCTGTTGGGTGAGATCATCTGTCACAATGGGTTGAAGTATCAGTTTACTGATGATACTCAACTCTATATCTCTACCCTTGATGACCAAGGTGATGCTGTTGTTGCCCTCTCACAGTATCTGGATGCTGGGGGATCTGATTGGAGGACAACATGCTTTGACTGAACCCTGGCAAGGCTTTGGGTGCATGGAGATTCAAGATCTGGGACTTTGACATTATCAGTTCTACATGGGGTGGCACTACCCCGGACAGACCCAGTGTACAACTTGGGGATTCTCCTGGACTTGTGACTCCTGCTCAAAGAGTCTTTGCACAACTTTCCGTTGTGAGTCAGCGGCACCCTTTCCTGGATCCGGCTTTCCTGTGCTCAGTCATTCAAGCCCTGTCATCTCACTGTGCTACTGTGGGCTTGTTGATTATATACCTGGCTCCCTGCTATGTATCAACAGCCCTGCCTGAGCTGGCTGACGTGATAGCCGGGGTGGCGGTTGGAACCCCCAGACTTATGGTCTTGGGGGATTTCAACCTTCCATCAGCGGGCGAGACGTCGGCGGTAGCTCAGGAGTTCTTGGCTTCCATGACGGCCTTGGACTTGACCCAGT